CACAGTTACCATTCTGAATTGCCACCCTTTCTACTGATGTCCACGTTATCATAGCACAAGGGGGCTCTGATGATTATTGAGAATCATTTTTGCCACTGTGAATTATTAGTTATTTTGTCCTTTCTTAAAATAGGGACCATGAAAGTCACTGGAAAAGACAGAAGTCTTAATACCCAAAAGAGTTGTCTTTAATATTGTTCTGGTTTGAGGCTACCATGGTGGTATAGCAGGCTATCCCCATGTGGGTACCAGCTGCTCTGCTTCCCATCTAACTCCCTGTTAATGCCTGGGAAAGCAGTGGAGGATGGCTCAAAGCCTTGGGATCCTGCACCATGTGGGAGACCTGGAATGGGCTCTTGGCTCCCAGCTTTGGATCAGCCCAGCTCTGGCTGCTGCAGGCACTTAGGGTATAAACCAGCAGATGGAGGATCTTTCTCCCTCTCTGTAACTCTGACTTTCAAATAAAATAAATAAATATTTAAAAATAAAAACAAATTAAAAACATATTGCTTTGGTTTGATGTCTTATCCCTCTGCTGCATTACTTCTCTGTCCTTTGTTTTCGTCCTTCTTGGCATAACTGCTAAACACGCAATTACAACAGACAGAATCACTCTGTTTTTCTAGTGACCCACAATGCATGCTTTTAGATGGTGTTATCAAATTAAGATATAAAGGATATGGACTGTGGCATCATCTTGCCTGTCACTGGTGAATGGGCTTGTCCTGGATGCCAAGATTTTCTTATTAAACTCCAGGACTCGTTGGGGATGCTAATCAGAAGAGAATTGTCTTTAACCAAAAGCTAATGCTTTCTGGGACCCAGTGTGGGGGCATCCAGGTATGATTTTAAGAGTTAACAGAGCAGCAGCAGGAGTCATGGTCTGTAGGCAGTAGACAGGACAGTGGCCCCAGTGGATAAGCCACCACTTGGGACACCCACTTCCCAAACTGGAGTGCCTGGGCTCCAGGGGAGGCTTCACTCTGGAGTCTAGTTCCTGTTACGATGTATCCAGGGAGGCAGCAGGTGATAGCTCACATATTTGGGTCTCTGTCACTCATGCAGGAGATCCAGAGTGCGTTCCCTACTCCTGTCTGTGGCCTTTGGCCACGCGCACTGCTCAGGGCTGTGGTGATCTAAGGAGTGAGCCGATGGATTCAAGATCTCTTTTTGTTGTGTGTGTGTGTTTCACTCTGCCTTTCAACTAAATAAAATGAAATAAAGGGAGATCCATTAAGAAATACAAGGAAGGAATAGTTTGATAATGATGACTATTATTTGTTGGGTCCCTTGATATATTGGACACTATACCAGTTACTCTGATTAAATCAGTTAATAACTGTTGGTATTAGGGAGGTGCCAGGATGGCATTAAGTATTTCACATGAATTATCATTTCATCTTCACTCCAGCCTTATTACCACCACTTCGTGGCCCAGGGGCCTGAGGCACAGAGCTGCAGCTCCTTGCCTGAGGTTGTGTACCTGGTAGCCACCCTCCTAGGGAAAGACGAATGTAGAGACCTGCTGACATAGAGACTAGGAGGACTGAGCCAGTGGCAATCACTAGAGAGTGGGTCAACATCAAAGTGCTGAGATCAGGGTGTTTACTCTGTATCCAGGAAGATCCAAAGAAGGCAGGTACCAATTTAATGTGCGATTAGTGGGGCACTGTCATCCTGAGAACTATAATACAACTGTCACAAGAAAGTAGGTTACAACAACAGAGATTGAAGGCCAAGTGGGACTTTTTTTCTTTCTGATAAAAGACACTTAGACTCCAGACTGACGGGCAGGTGGCAAGTGGTGGCCTCCAGTGTCTGGTACTTCTCTGCAGGGTACCCACCAATTATCCCCATGGTAAGAGGCAAGAGCATATTCTTGAGGTGTAAGCTTGACCCCCAACTCTGTTTTATCTTAAAAATCCTGTTAAAAAATTAAAGGGCATTTAGAAAGACGCTCAACATCACTGATCACTAGGGAAGTAAAATCCAAGCAATGATGGGATGGCAGCCCCCCATCCTAAGGATACTGCTATAAAAACAGAAAATACATGTTGGTAAGGATTTAGAGAAATTGAAAGTCCAGTGCGCTGCTGGTGGGAATGCAAAAGAGTGCTGCCATGGTGGGGAAGCTATTTGATAGTTCCTCAAACAATTAAAAATAGGATTCCAGGGGTGGGCATATGACAGGGTGCTAAGACAACAGTTAAAAAGCCTGTACCTGTGCCTGGCTCCTCATCCCAGCTTCAGGCAGTGATGACAGCTCATATAACCATATTTCTGCCTCCCATATGAGAGACCTGGGTAGCATTCCTGGCTACCAGCTTCTCCACAGCTCAGCTTTGACCACTGCAGGTATTGAGGGATGAACTCAATGGACAGGAGCTTTCTGTCTCTGTTTTCTTCTCAAATGAATGAAAAGTTAAATAAACAGAATCCCATCTGATCCTACAGTTCCACTGCTGGTTACAGACTCAAAACAATGGAAAGCCAGGAATAGAGGAATGTACACAGTGCAATTCACCAGGAAGCAACTTGAAAGCCTCTTGATAGAGGAGTGACTATCAAGGAAGGACATTCTGATACATGCGACAGCATGGAGGTCACACTAAATGAAATACACCAGCCATTACCACAGGGTATCTCAAAGAACTCACGGGAAAATGGAATTTCAAGATGTCTCCTTTGGGGAAGGAGAAACTTTGGCATCCATGCACACTTGTCCTGTAACTGACATCATCCATGAAGACTCCCAATGTGAATGCATTTCTCTGAGGCACTCAGAGTAGTCAGACTCACAGAACAGAGTGGGACGTTGGCAGCCACGGTTATGGGTGGGAAAAAGAGAGTTGCCTTTTAATAAATAGTTTCATGTAAGATGAAGAGTTCTGGACATTGGTTGGATGATGATGTGAATGTGCTTGAAGCTATTGTCCTGCATACCTAAAAACAACACATTTTATGTTATATGGACAATGTCCCTATTGTAGCACAGTGATTAAGCTGCCTCTTGGGATGCTGGCATCCCTGGTTCAAGTCCTGGCTACTCAGCCTCTGATGTGGGTTTCTGCTAATGTGTATCTTGGGAGGCAGCCAATGGTGACTCAGGTATCCGTGTCCTTGTCACTTTTCTGAGATCCTGGCTCCTGGCTTCAGCCTGGCCCAAGCCATGGGTGCTGTCAGCATTTGGTGAATGAATCAGCAAATGAAAGTTTGTTTTCTCTCTGTCATTTCGCTTTTCAAACAAATAAATTAATCAAACTTTAAAAAACATGATGTCCCTCATTTATTCATTCAGCTTCCTTTATTGTCTGAACTCTGAATTTGCCATCAGCAGAGATTTTAGGGACCGCTGGTTTTCCTTCTGGTGATGGATTTTCCCCCCCAAATTGGCTTTTACCTCCTGGAAGGCCATGAAGACCAGCGAACATCAGTGTTCAGGCCCCCTGGTCATCCAGGTTGTTAAGTTAGTGTCTAATCATAAAGAAGCTGTGAGCTTGATTGATAAGAATTAGATTTCTGGGATCTGATTCCTCTCCCGTGAAAAGACGGAAATTCTGCACTGCCAGTCCATGGAGGAAGACTTGCATTGATGATGACTCTGAGCCCAGCCACCTTACCTCAGAGGTTCAACTGGAATGAACTTCTCTCTCTCCTACCAATGCTCAATGCACTGACTAGGGTGCAGGGTAGGGAGAGAAAGGCTGGGCAAGACAATGCCATTCAAAGAGTGGGAGCCAGGCAGAAGCATGACTCAAATACCAGGGTGGGCACCGAGCAAACGAGTAAAAATGAGAGAGAGAGAGAGAGAGAGAGAGAGAGAGAGAGAGAGAGAGAGAGAGATGGAAGGATTAAGAATAATTCCCAGCAAGATATTTTAGCAACCTGCAGAGAGAATCTTCCCATGGGATAGTAAGAAGATTTTCACTCCAGTGTGCAGGCTACAAATGACAGAGCATCATCAAGTACCTAATTAAGTCCCAGAGTAGAGTGGATATTAGGGTTAGGGGCCCAAGCCATGGGTGCCTGAAATAGCCTACTATAAATGAAAAAACATGGGTAGAAAGGCAACACAGCACAAGGCACAATAGCTCACTTCTGGTGCAAGAACATGGGCCCTGGGACCAAATCACCTAACCGTGGGTCTCAGCTCTGCCACTTGAATGAGCTGTGTAGCCTCAGTTTCCTCACCTGTAAAATAGGCCCAAAATCAGTACCTATTTCTGAGGCCTGTTGTGAAAGATAAATGAAAGCATACATAAGTAACTCTTGGGTCAGTACCCAGGACCAGGAATGACTGACAAAACTATCAAGGAATAAGCCCTGGAAATAGGGCATAGAACATTATGGGTGAAAAATCATAATACACAAAGCATTGTCTATTATGGCCTACAGCTTAACAAACTGAGTCTGTCTTTTTAAAAAGGGATGTAGATGGTGAACAACATGCAAACTAATGCAAACTGCTATGTAAATCATGGAAGCTTTATCCAACACAGAAGCACAATCACTATTAAATGAAACAATGGTCAACACTTCCATAGCATTTACTATGGATCTGACCTTCTTGTACCATTACAATAACGCTAAGAAGTAAAGTTACTTGTCTTCCTTCACCCGTAGAGATTTAGTCAAGGCAGCTGGCTCAAAGCTGAGGCTTCTAACCATTTGGGCTATACAGCCCTTTAACATGTGGCTTGGGGATGCCTTTCAACATTTGAAATTAAAGCGTAAGAACTCATCAGTGCAAGAAGAATGCGCCTTACAGGAGGGCTTGTAGAAAAGGAAATCATTCTGAAACACACTGCAGCTGGACCTAAGGGCGTCCTGAGTGCCTCACCTATGGGAATAGAAGGCCTGGCTTTGGATCATGGGAGGAGGATGACAGCTTGGCCAAGTTTGTCCCCAGACGTCAAAATGACTCACCACTTGAGTCCCTGCCTTTGAGTCTTCCTTTACCCACCACCACTGGCCCACACGGGGCAGGACATGTGACTTACCGGCCGGGGCAGGCTGTATTGGTACATTTCTGGGCGGTAGGTTGGCACCCACTGTACCCCAGCTCTGGGCCGTGTCATGGTCCCTGGAGCACTGGTCACCACCTCGGAGTAGGGGAGGTGCTGCGCTGAGCCGTAGGCCTCCTGGTGCCGGCTCTGGCCTGCGTGGCCTGCAGATGCCAGGCTGAAGGCCTCCTCCAGAAGCATGTGCATCTGCTGCCTGACCTCATCGATGGATGGCTGTGAACTCAGTGTGGATGTCTCTGAGTGGCCCTTCACCTGGCGCGACCTGGCGTAGCCCCGGGGCTCGTGAACTCTGTCAATGTTGGTCTCTTCTATGATTTCTGGTTCAGTCTGCGGGACAAAACAAAGTGCATTGGCTCATTAGTGAACTTCCCTTCCCAGCAAGGCAGTCTGTGACTGACTCCAATAACACATTCCTTGAGACTGTAGATGTGGTGCTTCTAATTGGATTTTAACCATAGGCATCCTGGCCAGGATCCTCAGTGCAGTGGGAATCGGCTCTACCAGGCAGGCCACCCTCCAGTTCCATTGTGCACTTCAGATATCCAGAGCTCCATCAATGTTGCAGGCTCTGCTAATTAGCATGCTAATGGAAAAAAAAACGCCTTTGTTGATGGAATTATTGATATTCTCTAAAATCTTTGAGATATTTTCTACCCTTGTGCCTTTGGGTATGAGAACCTAGAGCATTCCATAGTTCATGTTCCCGAGGGACAGCACTCAAGACTCTAACCTAAGTGATTGTGTGACAGTCATTGGCTAGGGGATTGCTGGATGCCTGAAGCTAGTGACCAAAAAGAAACAATGTCTTGCTTCTAGATTTCTGACCCAGAGTGTGGTGCATGAGGAATCAGAAACTGGGTGGTACCCAGCAAACTGTTTCAGCAAGTTGTCCAGGAATCTCTGGCGCCTGTTGACATTGGAGATCCATTGACATAGAATGTTCTCCTGCCTCCCCCGACTAAACCTTGGACTCTGGAAGCAGCTGAGGCTTCTAGGTGGGGAAGCCTGGGATTTCTTCAGCATCCAGAGCAGGCTGCAGGGCCTGTCCGGTACTTGTCTACCAAGGAACACTGTCATGGTGTCTACCCTTTGTTCTGAAGCTTCTCTCCACTGGGATGCTGGACATGTGCAGTCTGGCACAAACACAATCTCAGGGGACAGGGAAGGCGAGCAGCAAGGGGGAAGGGCTTGCTTAGGTACCAGTCAGGGTGCTGCCTTGTAGCTGGCACCAGAGCAAAAGGCAGATCTAACAGGTGTGCCAGGAAGATAGGGTAGGGCAATAAGGATGCTCTGACTGGGGTGGTTGCCTTTCTTCTCTGGTGTTTGAATTTCTTTCTAGGTGAAAGGAGGATAACACTGCCTCCAGGGTTTTGTAAGGATGAAGTTAATGCACAGACAACATCTTGGTCAACAGCACATGGGAAAAACACAATCCAATAGTAGCTGCTGTCACTGTCATAACTGCCATTGTTACTTTCACTTGTCCCACTGCACACATGGATTTCTTATGTAATAACTAGTTATCAAGCACTAGGCTGGATCAAGTGAGCATAGCAAAGTGCCAATGGGGAACTAATTTATAAAGGATTATCCTATTGTGATGTGTGTGAATTGTGATAAATTTAATTTTGAAATTCTACTTTTCTCTAGCATTACATTAATGCTGCTCCTTAAAGAAGACAGAAAATATGAGAAACATGTTAAAAATACATCTTTCCTGTAATCCAATCAATCAGAGCTGGGATTGGGCCAAAGCTGAAATGAAAAGTGAGATTCCTTGTCGACCTTCAAGTCTAGACTCAGCTACGGTAAGTAATTTAAAATATCACTTTTATATGAACACAGGCCAGGACAGGTTGTGGAGCAGAATATACAACAATGATGATAAAGAACTCAAGGGACCTCATGGGGGCATTTTTTCTCTTGGGGTCGCTCTCAGGAAGGTCTTGGGAAATGCAACCTATGAAGACTGGCAAGTCGACCTGTTTGTATTTTACCTGGTGATATCTTTTCCCAGATAGCAAATACAACTTTTGAAAGAAAATTTCTTTATAGGATGTGGAAGATTCCAGACTGAATTTCACAGCCTGAAGCGACTTAAGGGGATTATTTAATTCTGGTCCTATGTTGCAGGTGAAGTTAAGGCCAAAGATGCTACCAGGCTTGCCCACCAGGACTGAGGCATGGGCAGTGCCCACCTCTGTGCTCCCTGCTCCCATCTGGTGCATATCTGGCTGCTTGGCATTGCCTCTTAGGTGTCTTATTGATGCTGGTTGCTACATCCTGGGCTTCCTCTACACAAAAAAGATGCTCAATGCTAAATTGCTTCACCACCCTGCCCCTGGCCCCAGCATGGAGATCAGGGGCCACTGTGGTGAGCTGACCTTTGATTTTCCTGACCCTGAGTTTTGCTGTGCATTTACAGTGATGATGGTGGGTTCGTTGTTGTGTGAATTTAGGGATCGATATTTCCTCTCTCTCCCCATGGTCCTGGTGGGTGGGCGGCTGTGCTGGTAGGGCTGCAGTTTCTCTGAGTGAGGGTGCTGGTGAGAGAAACCATGTTCCAACATCTACCCAAATATCCCCATCCCACAGAAATCCATGCCTGCCTCTCTCCTACAGTTTCCATTCGGGATGGTGGTGACCAACGATGGTGTGTGTGTGTGTGTGTGTGTGTGTGTGTGTGTGTGTGGAGGGAAAGACTCCTTAACTGGAGGGGTTCAACATTAAAACTCAAGGATAACCCCAACAGTTTTGCTCAAACAACCTTCTAGAGAAATCCTATTTCCCCATAATTCTAACTTGGTGTTTCCATCTCTCCACACCGCACAGGCAAACAAGACCCACACTCACGTCCTTGGATTAGCCAATTGAATGTCCATCTTTTCCAGGTTAGGTAATGCCTGAGTCCACATCACTCACTTCTCATGAGCCTAGCATAAAGCACTTGGTGTCCAATGAAGCCTTGTGAACCTGGATTGGATATAATATTTTATGCAACTTCCCATGGGAATTTGTCGTTAAGGTAAAGGCTCGCACTCCCTAATGCCTTTGAGCTGCATGACTACAAATGAATTCCATGAACTCCCTTACCCCAGGATTCCTCATCTGTAACATGGGAGAGTCGAGCTAGGTCTCAGGTTTATTGTTCCTTGGACTCCACCTGCTATGAGTGCATCTCCCTGCCATTATCATCATCTCTGGGAGAACGCATCTATTGGTGAAAGGACTCATGCCTCCCTCACCCTACAACATACGAGCAGTGGTGTTTGCTCTATTACTGACCTGGCAATTCTGGGTTTCCACCCTGTGCCAAGCCTTGGGTTTAAGGCTGTGAATATAAGAATTAATATGATAGTAACATAACCCCGAAGGAGCTGTCAGCCCTTTGTGGGAGACAGATGACAATACCACCACCAACAGTAGTTAGCAAATTATCAACAGCATAGACACCATACACTGTTCTAAGGCCATTGTACATACTGGCTCTTTTCATTCCCTGGATAACTTATAATGACTGGGATTATTAATTGCCATATTACAAATGAGGAAATTGAAACATTGAAAGGCCAGCTTGATTGTCTATAGTTAGCAGAGTTGGGACTGGGACTGAGCACCTAAGCATGGCACACTATCCATGTGTGAGAGCACTGCCAAAAGGCCATGGAAGATGTGCATTATCGCTTCATTTCCCATGAACTTTGTGAAATGTAATTATATAAACAGATCCAATATCACCTCACAGATGTGGCCTTTAATGGAGGGACCAACAGCTTCCTGCAACCAGGAGGACAGAACACCAAATGGCCATGGAGACAATCTACTTCAGAGATTGCTAGAAGGATGAAAAATACCAATGCACAAATGCGAAAACACTTATTAGAGCATCTGACACATAAGCATTTGAAAAATATTAGCTACAATAATTATCGCTGTTCTTTGCTCTCTCAGGGTTGGGTCAGGGTCCAGGATCTGACAGTGGAACCAAGTTATTGAATATTAGGTAGAAGAACTTAGCATAGCAGGTGCTCACATCTCTGTGCACATCTGTGATGTGTCAGCCCTGTGGAAGGCTTCCCACCTGTCGTCTCAGTCTCTCAGGACCCATTTTCAGACCATGTCTATCAGCACTTTTCTGTCTCTTGCTCTGTTCTGGAAATACCTTCTGCCTGAGGAGACCAGAGCAAGACCTTCCTGTGTGAACGGAGGGTTAGCTTGGTTACAACATCTGGGCCCACATCTGGGACAGGGAATGTATCATTAAACGTCTTTAACCTGGAAAGTACTGTACTTACTCCTCCAACCTCATACTCTTAAAAAGCTCTGGGGAACATCTTTGAATTTTTTTCCAAGAAGCTATTTTTATAAATTAATCAAGATATACTTCAACAAAATTCTAAAATATTAATCAACGAGTGTCTGTTCACGGTAGGAAATTAGAAAACACAGATAAGCAAAAGGAGAAAAAAACCTAAATTCTCCTTTAATCCGATCACCAGAAATAACCACTATTAACATTTTGACCTTCCTGCCTGTCCTTGCAGATGCCTTCAATGACAATGAAATGGGATGAGTATGAATGGAGCATTGGAAACACCCTCCCTGCTGCCCCAGGACCCACCTCTCCCCCCATGCCACTCCTGAAAATAGCGGTCAGGTCAGGGCCAGTTTCTCCCTCTTCCCCTTCCAAAGGGGCCCCACAGACTCTGCAGCTTTTGTGATGGACTGTGGCAGGGACAATGGGCAAACCTGAGGCAGACAGGGTGTGGGCTGCAGGATTAGGTAGTGGAATTTTCCAGGGAGTCCAGAAGCAGCTGTGATGTGCTGCTGCAGAATTAAGGGGAGGAGGTAAGGGAAGTTAAAAGTATTACTGAGCAGAATACAGTTGCCTACACCCATATGTAAAGGACTAGAGAGGTTTTTTTTTTTTTTTTTTTTTTTTAAAGATTTATTTTTATTATTTTTTCATTGGAAAGGCGGATATACAGAGAGAGGAGAGACAGAGAGAAAGATCTTCCGTCCGATGATTCACTCCCCAAGTGAGCGCAACGGGCCGATACTATGCCGATCCGAAGCCAGGAGCCTCTTCTGGGTCTCCCACGCGGATGCAGGTTCCCAAAGCTTTGGGCCGTCCTCGACTGCTTTCCCAGGCCACAGGCAGGGAGCTGGAAGGGAAGCGGGGCTGCCGGGATTAGAACCGGCGCCCATATGGGATCCCGGGCGTGCTAGGCGAGGACCTTTAACCACTTGCGCCACCGCGCCGGGCCCTAGAGAGGTTTTAAAATTGCTCTTGTTGGTGTAACTCATTGACTTAGATTTCTCTTAGG